ATCCCACCCAAGTTATGATTTGAGAAATCAAGTTTGTAGAGATTTTACATACATTTATATGCTTATGATTTGAGAATTGTTGATGAAATTGATGAATTATTGATGAGTTTGATGATTATTGATGAATAGAATTTAGCCATGAGAAGTGGTTTTGGTTGTATGATGATTAATTGAAGTTTGGTTGAAGTTAGAAAGAGTTGAGTAGAATTTTTGGGAGTGTATTGTTTTGGACAGGTTTAGTAATTTTTTAAGGGAGTTTTACTCCAAATATTGGTGGCTTGAGAAAGAGATAAAATTGTTGTCAAATTAGAGTTTGATTATACATGCAATATGTTTGATGAAATGTCCAAGATAAGTGTAGGCATGAGTTTTATTCATTTATGAATTGATATGAGTTTGTAGATGGTAGAGAGAAACTTATTTTTATGCTACATGGCATCCTTGCATTTAAACATTTGCATTTAGAAAGAATTATAAGCATGAAACCATTTACATACATACATCTTCATAAGAGCATGAAAAAGCACTAAAATATGTTAAAGAGAAAATAGAAAGAAATGAGAATATTAAGATATTCAAATCTGAAATTTTAGTTAAAAAAGTGTAAAAAGATAAAAAGAAGAGAAGGTTGTTGTGATGTGGAGCCCGTGATTGACATAGTCTCATATGCACGCCTTCTTTATTGATCGGCCTCAGAATTCAGAAAGAAGAATTGTACAGTCCGTTAGAAGTGCGTGTGGATGAGGACTGTACCCAGAATTAGAGAATTCACTCACACAGCCACGGCTCCAAATCCATGCCTCAACCGAGTCTGATCGGTAAGAAAAGAAAGAATAGAAAGAAAGAAAAGAAAGAATAGAAAGAAAGAAAGAAAGAATAGAAAAGAAAGAAAGAAAGAATAGAAAGAAAGAAAGAAAGAAAGAAAGAAAGAAAAGAAAGAATAGAAAGAAAGAAAGAAAGAAAGAAAGAAAAGAAAGAATAGAAAGAAAGAAAGAAAGAATAAGAAACAGAAAACAAAATAAGAAAAATAGAAAAGAAAATGCATAATCTATGCATTTGTGCATTTGCATCATAAATATGCAAAATACCATGCTCATTATCGTGAGTAGTGAAAAATTAGAAAATTGAGAGAAAAACAGTGAGCAAACAAAGAAAGGATGAGAAAGAACAGAGAGAAGAACAGAAAAGAATAAAGAATACTCGGGAAATAAGTTGTAAGGAAAGAAAATTCAGGATTTAAGCAACGGAGAGAGAAGAGTAGCATAGCGGGTTTACTTATTGAGCAATTAGTGCTCACTCCGTTGTTTTCAATGTTTTTGCAGGTAATAGGTGAGTTGCGGTCACTCAGAATGTGGAAGGGTTGGGCTACACTGTCAAGTTGCTATTTTGAGTATATTTTGTAAATATTTGTATATAAAGAAAAATTAAATATGGGCACATACTTTATTACTCGTTTATGTGTGTATTTTCTTATATATATTTTTAATGAGTTTTATTGATTATTTTACGAGTATACTAGCTAGAAAGAAAGTATTACAGAACTGCCGTGACAGTGTCCTCTGGATTGCATAAAAAAAGGCAACTATTGGAAACTCTCTTTCTATTAACAACTTCGAATTTATGGACTCGGTTATGTTCGTGGTCATGACATCAAACCTTCTTCCAGGAAAGTAAGCTCTACTCCATCGCTCGAAACCAACATCATGCTCAAGATACTTAGCAATTCCATCATCCTTGATTCAGATTTGCCGGAAGTGCTCCTCAAACTCATCAACTTGATAAGCTTTTGCTGTCATGTAGTATGTTTGAAGGAGGCCAGCATACTTAAACTTTTGTTTTATGTTCTCACCAAGGTGCCTCATACAAAATCTGTGATGTGCTTATGGGTGAATAGTGGCAATCCCTTTCTTTATAGAGTTGTGCCTATCGGATATTATGCATAACTCATCACTGTTAGGCACTATCGTACGTAATTGCTAAAAAAATTAAGTCCACGACTTGTCGTTCTCAGAGTCAATCACACACCATGCAATGGGATACGTGTGATTCTCACTGTCTTGTGCAGTGGCCACCAACAATGTACCTCCATACTTTCTTGTCAAAAAGCAACCACCAACAGCCAACACATTTCTCATGTTTACAAAACCCCTTATAGTAGCACCATAAGCAACAAACAAATATTTAAACCTCATATTCTTGTCCCACTTCAAAGCCGTCTTGCTACCTTGGTTTGTCAACTCAAGCATATAACGGTACGCTTCTAATACTGCGTACCCGTGCTTCAACGTGCCCCTCACAAAATCTTATACATGTTGTCTCCCTTTCTGACATTTCCAGTAACTAACAACGTATCCCAACTTTGTGTGCACAAGTCTCTGAATGTCCTTAAGAGATAGACCTTTCCTTTCAACAAACTGACTTTTGACAAATTGTCCAATAACATTAGCGAAGGCTTGTCGATGCTCACCTGAAATATGTCCCAAACAACATGTGTGCTCATAGGTATATGTGCTGACAATAAATTTTTTCGGACTCCGCCAACCTTTTACAATAAACCCGCCACTTGCACTTTCAGTCACGACATGCAACTGTCACTATCGATAAATTAGACTTTTTGGTGATGAACTCAAAATTACCTCTCACGACAACAAGTTTTAGCTTCCTCGCCACTTCCTCTTTGTTGTCAAATAAATATCATATGCACAAGTCCGATCCATCAGTAAAAACATGAACTGATTCACTACTACCTGCAATTGCCGCTCTGAACATGCATAAAGGACCATAGTGTTCTCTTCCTCACAAACTATACCTTCTACATAATATGTATTTAAAGGAATCTCTACATCTACGGGAACATGTATGGGGTCTTCCTCGTCAACATTTTCATTCTGCCGCACATGACCAACCTGTTTTACAGTGTCCTCGTCACCACCCAAATCACCACTTACTCTTGATTTTTCAACTAAGAAATCAATGCCCTTGTAGTTCAAATTAAAACCAGCATTCTCTCCACCAACTTCCTTGTTATCCCCTTCCTTTGAACCAACTTCCAACGGTTTATCTACAAAAGAAACCCTTAAAATCGGCCTCGAACCATTATTGCCCACATCAATCATATATAACTTCACACCTTCTTTTGACTTTAATATAGCAGGAGGTACCTTATAATGTTTAGGAACTCTGCTTAAAACATACTTCACAACTATATCACTATGTGAGCAACTCAAATCACCTCTTCTAATTATTTCATCAATCAACTCATCAAAACTAACCTCTGTGCTCATAGTAATTGGTATAATTTCTTTACTCTTCCCAATCCACTTCCAGCAACTTTCTTCCTCCATCCACGCACCAAAATATTTAACACCCAAAACAATTTGTCCCATATCTAATAATAGCCAAGTACCATAATGCAAGAAAAATAAATATTATTAACTGATGTATTAAGGGTTGAAAGATTTTAAAAAACATCTGCAGAGTCGCTTGAGTGATATAGTGTATCGCTTAAGTGATCTAGTATATCGCTTACTGGATCGCTTAAGCGATCTGGTATAAATAAGCCTGATCGCTTAAGCAATCTTCTGTCATTTACCTAATCTCTTAAGCGATCTGCTGCCATATACCAGACTTATAACTGATCGCTTAAGCGATCTTCTACCATTTACCTGATCGCTTAAGCGATCTGCTGCCATATACCAGACTTATAGCTGATCGCTTAAGCGATCTGTTGCCATTTACCAAACTTATAGCAGATCGCTTAAGCGATCTTCTACCATATACCTGATCGCTTAAGCAATCTGCAATCTGCTGCATTATACTAGACATATCAGATCGCTTAAGTGATACACCAGATTGCTTAAGCAATCCATCATATCCAGAACACATTTTCAGTCATCTCCACCTATAATCGATGCTACCAACCCCAGCTACCCACAATGCAAGAAGATATTCAACAAGTTTCACTATTTTCAACTTGCATTACATCAAACATAACCCAACAACCTAAACAACCAAATCAAAATCATAACCCAAACCCTATCCATCATTAAATCTTTGTAAATCAAAATATAAAATGGAAATGGGAGATACACATACTTGGACGAAATGTCAAGAGGGGGAGGAGGAGGATCTGTGGCGGAGAAGATGTTAATGGCGGAGGAAGAAGATAGTGTTAATGGCGGAAAGAAGATGTATAGGAAGGAGGAAGAAGAAGATGTAGATGAAGCTTAAAATAAAGAGCAACCAGAGGAGGGATGCGTTAATGGCAGGAGGAAGAAGAAGAAGATGTTAAGTTTGGGTTTGTTTGCAAGAATTTCAGGTTTTTTTGGAACATATTACAATTTTTAAAAGATTACATAATACTTCATTAATCCTAATTCAGCCATGATTAGTGTTTAATTGTTATTAGTTTGTCTTAATAAAAATTAAAGTCATTTAGTACAAACTAAAAAATTACTTGGCTTTTTAATTAAATTCAAAGCCAATATGACATTTGAATCATTTGCCCGGTTTTGGTGCTTGTTTTTTCTTCAAGAATGATGTTAACATAGTACTATTTGCTTTGGGTTAATATACAAAATCAAAGCCCACAAGGCAACAAGTATTATAATAATAGAACAAGTTAACTGCATAAGAGTTAATGGTAATTTCAGTCATTCATTGCAGAAATGCTGTCATATGCTATGAATAGATTAAAATCTAGTCAATTTGTACTCAAATTTCTACAATGAGATCAGTGAAAATCAAAGCATTTGAAATTGTTCGAAGCTTTGGAAGTAAGTATTTATGAATTATTTATATTTCCACATAATTCAGTTTACCAACAAGAATAGATGGCATTACTTGTAAACAAGATGAGCATTGAGCATGAAGACATCCCTCAATGAACTGATGATTTTCGAACATTGAAGTTGAATCGATTACATAATTATGAACTTGGGACAAAAAATCATCAGTATATAATTAGCTTTGTTACTTCCATCTATGATGTACCTATCTTGGTGTGGGATCAGGAAAAGGAAAAGGAAAGCAGAAACGTAAGTTAGACAAAGTGCTCAGTTGGGTACTCATGCTCATATCCATTGTAATCATAATACAATCTTTCTCCCTTCGATATATGTCTGTTAGCTATCAGCAACACCCGGCACTCGCCATTGACATTGTACCTCACACATTTTAGGTTCTGCTTCTTTCTCCCCTCCCTGCAATTGCAACAGAGTCGGTTTTCTCATTAACTTGAAACAAAAGCTCCAATTTGTCTATTGGAACTTTTCAAAGTTTAATGAAGAAAGTAATGCTTATTAAAAAGGACAGAACAGTACATTGCGGTTCCAATTTGCTCTTAATGAATCTAAATGAGCCTAATATATTATTCCTCAACAGCTGTTTAGAATCCAAAATTTTCCCTAACAGAGCTCATCTCTAAATTTTTGTTTAAATAAGACCAAGTAAAACAAATATTGTAAATAGTGAGAACAATGCTGCATTAAAACATTCAGAAAACTAGACATCAAACTATACAGCCCCTTAATATTCTTACGCAAAATATCAATTTAATGCTATTACCATCCAGTAAAAGTCGGTACTAAACAATATTACACCAGTTTAAAATACAAGTTTATAGACATCTGAACAGGATAAGCTAACCCTTTATTGTGACATAATTTATTTAACTTTTGGGGGTAATATGACATAAACTACTTATTTGAACATGGCAATCTGAATTAAATGCTGAAAGTGGACTTACGCTGTGTGATTATTGATGCCATTTATAAAGCGGGCAATATTTCCATGCTTATAAGGGCAAACGACAAGGCTTTGAGATGGATTAGCCGCATGAAGCAAGGTCATAGTACTATCACCATCATCATTTTCACGATTCTTCAAGTAATCAACATCTCCAACATATTCTGTAATCATTGTTAAATCTTTTATAAATCTATCTGCCTGTACAGTGAATCTGATACAAACAAACAATCATTCTGAGCTAAGAATCCAATCATCCAAATGTGTAAAATTAACTAAATGAATGAATGCATACAAAATCAAATACCATATATTACATATACATACCCTTCCTTAGGATCATAAACAACCATGAGGGGTGGGCACTCCCCTTTGCTCATCATAAGTTTGCACAAATTTAAGGTTTCAGTATCTTCTTTCGACAATACCTGCAATGCATTTATAAAAAGATTCACTATAACCTCAATCAAAGATAATTTATCTTTTTCTTTAAACTCTCTTTATTAATAATGACAACAAAATTTTGTTGAGAGTTTTTCAAGATTTGCAGGCAACACTAATGTAGAAATCCAATACAAAGAACATAAATCCCTTTTTATTTTTCTGGGGAAAGTCTAAGAGCCAAAGTCATTGAATAGGAAAGTTGCCAATATGTAAAAAAAAAAAACTTTTTAATATACTTCATTTGCTAAATTCAGAGAAAAACTACTTCAAACTCTACATTTTCTCATAAGAATCTGAACTTGGACAGTCCAAAATGGTTCAAATGGTTTCAAGTCAAAGATATTTCCTCTGCACGACAAAAAATGGCAAGATTCCACACTGGAAGGTTTCAGATGGTTTAGAAGTCTCCGTATTTCAATTCTAACAACCCATAAAATCTCCAAATTAACGGAAAAAAAAAAAATTTATTCCAAAGTTTATAATAAACTTAAATAGAACATTTGCCGACACATACAGGTCAATTCAAATTGAGCCAAAATCTCCAATTAAGCACATAAACGTTATTCCAAATTTACAGTAAAGCTTACATTCGAAATTCACCGAGTCATATACTTGAAGTTTCAAACTGTTACACATACTAAAGAATACCTAGAACTATTGTTACCATGTGGGCAGATTTTAGAACACAAAAAAGAAACCATCAATCAAGCATTCAAGCTTCTATCTACTGTTACATTAACTTCAAACATGTTAAAAGTTTAATTTACAAGTATTAATTCTTTCAGTTACCTGCATTCCTCCCTTCTCGAGAGCTGCTTGATTTGCAGACCGTGGTGCCATGCCAGGAACATAGATGAGCTCATTACTAAATTCTGTTCCAGAGGCTCTCAGAGCTGTGGCCAGTGATGCCATTTGTTGCAATCTCCTCTTGGGATCATCAGTCGGACTGAATGGCAATAATTTTCTTCTCTTTTTTGACATCACTAAACTAGTCACTCGCTTTCGCTTTCTTAGATTGTCTGGAACAAACAACAAATTTAATTTAATTAATCTCCATCATCAGCGACATAAACAACAAAAATAGGTAAAATAATTAAAACCAAAATTTCCAATTACCTTGGCTTAGTTTCTGAGCTAACTCCGGCGTTCTTTGAATCCGAAAGAAATCAACGATTTTTGTTTGAACCAGAGGAAATGCTGCACATAAATCCAACAAGAAAAAAAGAAAAAAAATCAACTAGTGAAGCCCATTTTTTAGTATCTTAAAATAAATAAACCAGGCTTATTTTTTAGATCATTAAATAAAAAATAAAGATTGGTACATGAAAAACATAACCCACGTAACTAAAACCCATAATTCAATGAATAAACTTAAAAACGAAAAAAGATAAAAAAACAAACAAACTATCAGCCGGTGAAGTCCAATTCTAGTGTCTTATAATAAATAAATCAGGCTTATTTCAAGATCATTAAATAACAATAAAGATTGGTACATGGAGAACAAAACCCATAATCCAATGATATAATTAAAAAAATTAAAAAATTGGAGAAAAGAAAAAGAAATTGAGCGATGAACATACATTTGGGTATCTTATGATTTGAACAAGAAGGGCAAAACCAAGAGCCTTTAGGCACAGAAATGAGAATGGGTGTGAGGCAAAAGAGGTGAAATCCCTTATCGCATTTGTCACAAAGAAGCATTTTGGCTGGGAAATCGCCAGTCCCGCATTTCTGGCAGCAAGCATCATCGTAATCGGAAATTTCTTCAGCAAATGAATGTGGGTTCGGAGCTTCGGTTCTGCGTCTCAGTATCATTTTAGTTGCTGTTGAAGGAAGCATTGAGCAAAAGATTGAAAGAAACGGAAATGATTTTGGTGGGTTTAATTGTAGAGCCAATTAGGGCTGTTCGCGCCCTATTTTGGTTTCGCGGGAAATGAGTTTTGGCGCGAACTGTTTTCGGCACGTGTCTTTCCTCGTGGGCCTGCGAGGTTGAGTTGGAAACCAAATCTAGCACATGATCAACCAAAAAAAGATGGAAGAAAAGAAATTTAGTTTGTTTTATTTTTTAATTCTAGGGTTTCTAAAATGGGAATAAGGGTTTCTAAAAATTTTTATGTTTTAAACGTTTTATTCATATTGAAATTACTAGGTTAACCTTGATCTTTTTATCTTAATAGAAAACTTCTAACGTCTTCTTCGTGACAGGGGATTGTGAGCAATATCTAATAAAAAAGTAAGGTTTTAATATAGATATCATTTGGGAAGTTTAGTGAAGCAAACCCTTATTTTTAGAAAAAAAAATATTTGTACTTAATTGTGGTGACATTACAAAGTAGAGGTGGGCAGGGACTAGACCCAACCGGGCTCGGGTCTAGGCTTGATTAGGACCAGTCTTGGGCCCATGAAAACTTTCAGGGCTCGGATTGATCCCTAGGACCAGTCCTAGGCCTATAAGACCGATCCTGGGACTGATCCCATGAGCCTAAAAATTTTCATTTACCCCTTTCCCCCCAAATTTTTACCTATTTAGGGGCTTAATAAAATTATGTAGGGGGTTTATGTAATTTTGTAGAGTAGTTAGTACATTTTTTAATTAATTAGTAAATAAATAATTAAATATAAATGAATGGTTAAATGTTAATGACTTTATTCTTAATTGGTTATAAATTTATGGTGTTTTTAATTTAAACTTTAAGGAGATAATATTAATTTAAGTTTGACATAAATATAATATTCACACAATCACACTTCACAAATAAATAATTAAATAAATTTGATTTTATTAAATTATTAATTTACATCATCAAAATATTTACATCCTCCAAATCTGTGTTTCCGAAAAGGTTGAGTAGTGCAAGATCTTTAGGGTGTTGCTGATCTCTTCTGTCTGTATGAGTTCAATCTGGTAAACGTGTTATGATTTCAATCATCTCATTGGTTAAAGAGCATCTTCTCTCTTCAACAATGTGACCACTAATTGAGAATGTTGACTCAGATGCAATTGTCAAAACTGACACTGATAAAATGTCACATGCTATTTGGGCTACTATAAGGAATTGACTTGCATTGTGGTTCCACCATTGAAGCACATCCATCTCACGTTTCTCCTTCTTGATCATGTAGGACATGTCCATTTGTAGGTACTGATGCAACTCATTTGGTCCAAGTTGTCTGTATGAGCTGCTACTTCCACCACCACCGCTGCTGTGTTCCACAAATGTCTAGATGCTCGATCCTTGTTCTTCATCAAGGTCCTACTGCTCATCTCTTCTGGCGCTGGATGCTCCATTATACCTAGCTGATACAAAGAAAAACGGCTTTCCAATTTTCTGTTAAAATCTTTCAAATAAGAACTATAGTCATATTGTAAATTATGGAATATCCCAGCAACCATACAATTAAATACGTTTAATTTAAACCTAGGATCTACAATAAGACCTAATCCATATAAGAATGGAATATCTAACCAATATTTTCGGTATTTTCTTTCTATTGTAACAACAATATCACACAAATCTTCATTACATAAAGTTTTAGAAATTCGAAGTAAAATATCTAACGCTGCATTAGTAGTAGGTTAATAAATACCACTTAATGTAGTAGTGGAATCGTAAAAAACTTTAAGAAATAAAAAAAAAAAAAAAGTTCGCAAACTGTCCAATTGGATTCGTTGATGACTTTTTTCGGATAGTTCTTCCGGTTGACGAACTTTATAATTTCTCTTGCGGTTGGTATAGCTTTTTGCAACATCATGTACCGGGAGTTCCAACGGACAGGCATGTCTGTACATAACTTATTTGGTTCAATAGATAGATCCTCTTGGCAAGAATATTTGTGGAACTCAGTCCATCTTGAATTGCTACCAGGGATGAATCTGACAGCCCCACGCACCCTTTCAATCCTTGAATGTATAGCTTTTAAACCTGCTTTAACAATCAAATTGATGATGTGGCAAGCACATCTCTGGTGAAAAAATTTGCCTTCACCAAGTGGATCCAATCTCTTTTCAAATAAAGAAATTGCCGAAGTGTTAGCAACTGCATTATTAAGCGTTAACGCCACAACTCTCTCAGATAATAAATATCTATGCAAAACTTCAATAATTGTAAAATAAATAGTGTCAGCATTGTGTTTTTCATATAATGGTTTAAAACCTATTAATTTTTGTTGTAAATGCCAACTATGATCTAGGTAATGTATTGTGACACTCAAAAAATCCGTTTTTGATCTAGCAGTCCATATATATGAAGTAAGTGCAGTAGATATATTCCTAAAATTTTCAAATTCTATTTTAAGTTGATCTTTTATTTTATCATAAAGTCTTAGTATGTCTCTTCTAATTGTACCTCTATTAACAAGGGTAAATGCTGAACAAAAAGCATTTTTAATTATTTCAACAAAATAAGGATAAAGAAATAGGAGAGTTTGTAGCACATATGAATTTTGTTATGCACTCTTGTGTTCTGAGTGCATTGTATTGTCATGTTGAGAGACTTAAGAATTGTGGATTAAAATTAAGTTGAGTTTAAATTTACTTACCGAATCTGGTTGAAGTTGAACCGGACTGGCGAGATTGTTGCATACATTGGGGGTGCTTCTTCTCCAAGTGTTGCCGCATCGTCGAAGTCCCGTTCTCAGCACCGATAACGATTGGATAAAAATTACATTCCCGCACGTCTTGTCCCCCAAGGCTTTGGCTGTTTTGATTTGGTGAAGAATTGTCATACCCCGGACACGACCCTCTTTGATGGTTGGGCCATGGAGTCGTAGCTCCCTTATGTTTGGTTGGACCCAGTCCCGACCGTTTGTGGTTGTGGAATTGCAGTTGTTGCCTCTGGAAAGGGTGAAAATGGATCGAACCCTTCCATTTCTTTGGTGGATGGAATGTAAAACTCGTTTAGGGATGATCCTCCGAATACATAACTTTGGGAATCCATTATGAATTTATGAAAAATAATAAATAATTAAAATGAAAGAAATTGAATAATAATATGAATAATAGATGAAATTGAAAAATAGAAGAAATTCAATAATAATAATATGCATAACTTTGGCCGTTTTGATTTGGTGAAGAATTGTCATACCCTAGACACGGCTCTCTTTGATGGTTGGGCCATGGAGTTGTAGCTCCCTTGTGTTTGGCTGGACCCAGTCCCGACCATTTGTGGTTGTGGAATTGCAGTTGTTGCCTCTGGAAAGGGTGAAAATGGATCGAACCCTTCCATTTCTTTTGTGGATGGAACGTAAAACTCGTTACGGATGATCCTCCGAATGCACAACTTTGGGAATCCATTATGAATTTATGAAAAATAATAAATAATTAAAATGAAAGAAATTGAATAATAATATGAATAATAGATGAAATTGAATAATATGAATAACTGTAAATATAAATTGAATCGAAGAGAATTTTATAATTGGAGTACAGAGATTGAGAGAATGAGAGGTTGAGAGTTGAGTTGTGAAGAAAAAGGAGGTTTGGGGGGAAAAGTGAAAACAACACCGCGCCCCCCCCCCCCCCCCAACAACCCCCACCCCCCCTCTCTGACTGTTGGCTGCTCAACGATCGAATCAATATAAATTTTTTTGGTAAAATGTCATTTTAACCCTATTTTCATTGTCTATTTAAAAAAGGTTTTTATTTTTTTATTTTTCAGGGGTGTTTTTGAAAAAGGAGGAAATGGTTTAGGCCTGCGCCTAGGCCTGGGACCAAACCAGGGCCCAGGCCCTCCTCCATGGTCCTGGTCCAGTTTATGGACTGGACCTTATAGGGTCAATCCTTGTGAGGTCGGGTCCTAGGACCCATTTTTTTGGTGGGTTTTTTGGGTCCTATCTCAAATTCCCACCTCTATTACAAAGATTCATGAAATGTTAATAGTAAATTTTTTTTAGTATCCCTGGCTTTTTTAATAGGATATTATTAATTAGGGTACAAAGTTTCCAAACTTCATCAATGGCAGGACAAAAGTTACAAATCTTTCAATTAAGGACATCTAATAACCAATTTCGATTAGACTTAACAGGAACAACATGAAAAGTAAAAAATATCCCTAAACCATAATTTGTTAGCATATTACCTTGTAACTAAATTTGAAAAGACCAAAAGACCCTAATACTTGATTAAATTTTCAAAAATTGTCATCTTTTTCTTTCGGTCCTTGGATTTGTACGACTAAAAAAAATCGGAATATCTTTATAATGTGTCTTCTTCCTTAGTAACCCATAACCAGTAGAGAGAGAAACAATTTATTCTTCCATATCCATATCCTATCTACGGTTCACATTCTTTGCTAAGTTAAAATCATATTGTTGACTCAAATTCAGCAATGTTAGCAAGAAGAGAGTTGATCGAAACCGTAGAGAAGCAACTTTAAGAACAAAAATCATAATAGGAAATTAGAATAGAAGCTAATATTTAAAGTCTAATTAAAATATTACATAATCAACAACAACAGCAACAACAATAATAATAATAATAATAACATGGTACAGAAGCCGACTTTAACAATAAAAATCACAATGTGAAATCATATCAGAAGGTGATATTAATAGTTTAACTACCATGAAAATACATGGTACATAAATTGACCTTAACAACAGAAAACTTAACAACGATCAAAGCAAAAATCACAACATGAAATCAGAACAAAAGCTAATATTCAAAGTGAACTAACATTCACAAATACATAGCACAAATGAAGGTAGAATTATTAATCCTGTAATTGTTTTTGTCAACTTATGAAGATTGTGTGCACATTTATTCTGATGTTCGCACGTTTGGTTGATTTTGCAAAATCACGGTTGTTTTTGTTGTT